CGGAGGAGGGCTTGCTATTATGGCCTTGTCCTGGCCTGCCCTTAGTATGTGAGCTCTCAGCGTCTGAAGGAATAGCTCGGCGTTAGGACCACCCTGAGGCCAAAGGGGCCAGGAAGAGGCCCAGAGGCACCGAGCACTGACTAGCGCCGTTGGGCGGATTCAGCAGTGGCCGGTGGTGAGGGCGGCGCGGTGACGTCATCGGCGCGCGGCGCGTGGCGACTTGGCAGCGCAGGAGTCTTGCCGAGCCCTTAGGCATTGGCGACGGCACCTTGTATTTATATAACCTCGAAACCCTCTGAGAAACATCACCCATAACGCACGAGGTGAGGGAACAGCATGTGCAAAGGCCCAGTAGCAGGAGGGAGCCTGGTGAGTGCTGAGGCTAGATGTGTGGGGATGGGCCATGCGCAGGCCTCTTGGATCCTCGCAGGAGGTGGGCCTTCTCCTGAGGGAGGCTGGGAGTCATTGGAGGCCTGGGACTTGGTGATGCCTGGCCCCACACAGGGTATGTGTGTGGGGGATGGTAGGGGTTCGGACTGGGGCCAGTTAGTGTAGAGTGTGGAACCCAAGTTTCTCTGAAGGTTGTCTGGCAGGTTTCAGGACCAGGACGAGGGTTGGGCGGCACAGTTTGAGCGCCACAGTTTGAGCGCCTTCCTTGGGCACCATTGTCCGTGTGTGACTTTGTTTTGTTGAGAGCTGCATCCCCTCTCTGAGGGACTTTGAGATTCTTCTCCCCCGCCCCCCAGTCATTTGCTCCTGGGAAGCCTCGAGCCCCTGAGAGTCTGGATGATGGTGGGGGAGGATGATGAGGGGGATGCAAAGCAAGCCTCCAGGTAACACTGGCCATGCCCACCCTGTGTCAGCCTGATCCACCTCCTCTGAGGTCTTACGCAGCCTTCCCCAAAGTGGAGGCAAGTTCTGCCCTGCATACGTGGCCACCGCTCCAAGAAGCCCCTCATTGCAGTCTGGCGCCCATGCCCTGGGGCTCTCTTCAGACCCATGCTTCGGGTCTGGTCATACTTGGGGTTTCTGACTGAGGCCTTCCTCACCCTGAGTCCCAGCAATCAGCCAGGTCTCAGCATTCATGTGGCTGACCCTTCCTTGCTGTTGTCCTGATTGGCTGGAGCTGAGGGGCCTGGCCAAGAACAAACCACAGCCCCCTCCATTCCACCCCATCCCCAAGTACACACATAGGCAAGAAGCCTAAGACCTCCTTGCCTTGGTCCATCTCTACCTACAAGTCAGAGGATCTAATCACGACACAGATTAGATCAGGGCACCCCCAGGCCCCCTTCACACTTAAAATCCACACATCTTACCATGGCCTACAGGACTGTGGCCACGCCCACTGCCCCTACCCATTCCAACTCATGTCCTGCTACTTGCCTTCGCTTGATCCCTTCTAGCTTGGCCAGCCTTCTGGGAATGCACTGAACTCATCCCAGCTGATGGCCTTTGCACTTGCTGTTTTTCTGCCTGGAATGCCTACTTCCCAGTCTGGCTCCATCCTGTCATTCCAGGCACAATTTCAGTGTCTCCTTAGAGGCGCCTTTCTAACCTTTCTTTCTAAAATATGTCACTCTCCCCTCCCCCCACCCCTACTTCAGCCAACCACCTTGTGGAGTCTTCATCTGAGCACTATCACTACTTGAAATGTTCTTGTTCTTCAGTTTCATGTTTAGTTATTTACTGTCTGAGGCCCTGAATGTGAATTCCATGAGACCAGGGACAGGACTTCCTCGATTTTGTTCATTCCTGTATCCTTTGGGCTTAGAGTAATGCCTGGAACACAGTAGGTGCCCAGTGAATGTGTGTTGTACAGTCTTAGCTATCATTTAATGAGGTCATTCAGAGGTGTATTGCCAGGTTGTGTGCTAAGTGTTTTACGTGCATAACCTTAGGAAGAGGCTCAGTGCTCCACTTCCTGGCTCTGGGACAATAACAGTTCTGGTCATAAGCTTAGGAGGATCAAGCCGGCTGAGGTGAAGCTTAGGAACATGCATTTCCCCAACATTCCTTCCCCTTCCCTCCCCCACTCTGTAAGAAACCAATAATGATCTGTAGAGTGGGATGGACCTGGTGCAGGTCTTGGCTACCACGTTTGACCTGCATGTCCCTGAGTGACTGTGCTTCTCTGTATCTCCATTTCCTCATCTCTAAAATGGGGATCAGAGTCCCTGGCTCAGAGTCCCTGGCTCAGCTGTGGCTTTGATGCGGGTTGAAGTGTTCTTGCACCTGCATGCAGTCCCCATCGTGCTAAAGAGCTGCCCCTTTCCTATTCTGCATGCCCCCTGCTGCCCAGATCACCAACTCTCATTGGGAAGGGTGTCTCCTCAGCGGCACCTGGGCCCTCAACCCATCACCCCCCACACAAATCCTCCTCTCACTTTTCATTCTTGTAAATTGACGTCAGTGCTGCTGAATCACGAAGCTGAGGTTTGAGAGAGAACCTGCACCGCTGGGGAAGCCACATGGCACACACTACACCACCCCCTAGCCCTTTTCTCTGCACTGGTGTCTGCACAGGATCTCAGTCACACAAGGCCTGGAGTGCAGTTTCGGGAGACTTTTGGGTCCTGTTAAGCCACTGTACATGTTAGTATAGATTTTTAAAAACTGACTTACAAAGAGAGGGCGCCAGCTCTGGGAAGTGTGATCAAAGAGGTCTTCATTCTTAGCTGTTTTGCCCCTGGTTTTATTGGGCCAATGGGTTTGTGTAATGAAGATATGGTTTTTAAACGTTTTTAGGAGGAAAAACCCTGAAAATATTGTCAGCTACCCTCTAATGCATCCCTCTTTAGATGAAGACCTGTATCATCTGTAAAATGGATGTTAATAGTAAGTCATAACACTAGGGCAAAGGTTGAATGTTTTAATATAGGTACCTAAGGGCATGGAATGGTTCCTGCACAGTAACGCTATATGTAAATATTAGCAGCTGCTGCTGTTATTATTATTGCAACCGTTAGGTCCTCGTGGGAGACTCTGCTACCTAGTGGTACCAGCCTCTGAGACGATACAATCTAAGTTTGAACATCTGGCTCCACCATTTGCTGTGTACCCTACTTTGCCTCTCTAAGCCTCAGTTTTCCCACCTGTAAAATGCAGGGAGAGGTTTAACGTATAGAATAGTTGTCAGAATTAAACAAGGTAGCACAGGGCCCTGCACACAGTAAGTACTCACTAAGTGTCTGTGGTATGCTCAAGCACTGCCTTCTGGGATTTTTCTGTTTCTTCAGGCACTGTCCAAACTAGGTAGGAGACAGGGAAAGTCAGAACAAGGGCAGAACTTGATCCACACAGAAGAGAACAAAGGGCAGGAAGATGGTTAAAAGAAAAAGCAGCGATTCCTTGGAGCCAGAGATAAGACATCACCTCGTTCCCTCCCATCCCACCTTATTAAAGGATGAAATTGCCAGAGCTCTCTGAGATCCTAAATCTCTCCTGGCCATCCTTAACTTTGAGGCCTGGAAACTGTTTAATACCCAAGACAAGTCTGAGCAGCTCCAGGTCTCAAGTTAATTTTCTGCTGCACTTTCAAGTCTGAAAGGTATTATTAAGAATTAGGACACTCCAATATAAGCATGTCCAAGTCTGCAGAGGGCCATTCTAGCTTCTAAAAATGGAGTGCGACATCTGCTTAACCCTAAACTTGAAAATGACTCAATTCACCAGGTACGGCAGCACAGCAGAGTTGCCAGCACGGCTTATCTGTCAGGCCGGTCACAGACACAGGACTAGCCATACAGCCCATGTCATGGGGACTTTCTGGTGATGCAGACCAGCCCCATAAGCATCCTGGAGCAGCCATTCCCTCCCCTGCTTCCTGAAATACCTCTTTCTCTGAGATGCCTAGACACCTGCTGCTGAGGATTTCACCTGTTCTAGCAAGCCCATTTTTGAGGTCCATGCTGAGGCCCAAAGAGGCAAAGGGAATTGCCCAAAGCCACCAGCAGGGCCCTCCCGTCACCACAGACCACAAAGCCTCTTTGTGTCTCCAAGTTGTGCGTTCACCAAAAAGTACACAAGACAGAACAGGGAGGGAAGAGGGAACTCAGGCCCAAACCTGTATCCCTCATCCCATCTAAAATATGGTTCCCTTGATGCCGAGGTCAGAATGTGGCACACCTCTTTCTAAAAACGCATCAAGCCCCCACTTCCCCCTCCCTTCCTGGAAGTTATTGTGGTCACAGAATGGAAATTTTGTCATCCAGTTCAAACAGACTGTGTGGACAGCCAAAAAAAAACCCAAGTGTCTTGACCCAGGAATGACCAAAGGCAAATCTACCCTTGCACTTGGTTTTCTTTTCTGTAGAATGGGTTAAGAGCCTTGCTTCATAGAATTGTCTCAATAGAATTAGGTAAATGAAAGCAAGTAAAGGTCTGAGTAAGGCCTGGTACTCAAGTGCTCAAACATGAGCTGCCATTTTAACCAGACACACAATACCAAAACTAGACCAACCGTTCCTCTACCCCAGACTGTGGGAGGAACCAAGCAGGGTTCTTAGCCACAGAATATGGACCACACATCACCTCCAGCCAAAAAGGTCAGTCTTAGGATCCCTTTACCCTGGACCCATTCAAAACCAAGGAAAACCTTTGATCAAAGCACACGCTCTAGAAACCTTTTTTCTTAAAAAAAAAAAAAACTTTCATAATAAAGTTTATTACCTAAACTGGTTGTAAAAAATATAAAATAGGATTCTGCACAGCAGAAAAATAAAGCCAGAGACCCTCCCCAACCCCTGGTTTGTGCAAAGATACTGGGTATATGTAAACATGAAGAGGTAGGAGGTACAAGTTCAGGTCCTGGCCCCAGATACAGTTAAGTTAAGCTGCTACTACAACCAGGGGGACCCAGAGGGAGCACCAGGAGGGGGCACGCCCCCAAGAGTTGGGGAGGGGTCAGCGGCCGGGTCTCCAGCCGAGAGGGGGAGGGGCCTAGCCCCCCACACCCCAGCTCCCTTCAACCCAGGCGGGGAGGGCACCCACGTGGTTCCAGGGAAATAATAATTAATTAAAAATAATAAGGAGCCCCAGTTAATGCTGCCTGCGCGGCCGGTCAGATCTGGTAGGGGAAGGAGCTCAAGTAGTCACGGAGGACAGGGTTGAGGGGGATGCGGGCCAGGTTTTCACGGCCCACGGTGGCCACGATGCGCTGGCGACACAGCTCCTGCAGCGGCCGTACGCGGCGCTGGCGAAGAGGGGTCCCCAGCATGCGGCGCGGCGCTGCCACGTAGTGCTCGAGCAGCTCGAAGAGGCAATCGAAGCTCTCGCGGCTGCCGTCCAGATGGAAGCGGCCAGCCTGGAAGTGCACGCGTATGCTTGTGGGGCCCGAGGCCATCTTCACGCTGAGGGCGAAGAAGCAGTTCCGCTGGCGGCTGTCGCGCACTAAGAAGGTGCCCACGGGCTCGGCACGAAGCCGCTCATGTGCCCCGTGCACACTCAGGGGTCCCCAGTAGAAGCCGCAGGCGTCGAGGAGCGCGCTGGTGCGGGTGATGCGCCGGTACTCGGCATGCGAGCGGAACGTGCGGAAGTGCGTGTCGCCCGGGGCCGGAGCTGGGACTGCCGGGCAGGGCCGCGCGCGCACAGGGGCCACGGGCGAGGAGGAGGAAGAGGAAGATTCTGGCCGCCGTCGGGGCTCTGCTGCTGTGGAGATTGCATTGTCGGCTGCCACCTGGTTGTGTGCCACCATCCTACACGAGGGGCCAGCAGGAGGGGTGGGCCATAGCGTCCGGGGGTGCGCTGATAGAGGAGACAGAGGCAGTGAGCGGAGAGTCCGCGTGGGCTGTACAGGAGAGGGGCCGCGAGGCAGCTGGGGGTGTGTAGAGCTTAAGGCTGAACCGCCGACCCTAAAGGGCTGAGGGCATAGGACCAAGTACGTGCGGCCCCTTTGAGCCTTAGTGAGCTAGAAAATACACTCCCTGGTGCGCGGAGCACTTCCAGGCAGTGGGAACTTGGTGGGGGCAGGGTCCAGCCTCCCGCAGGCTCAGAGTTTGGACAAGCGGAGGGGGGCGTGGAGAAAGCTGCAAGCGAGAAGCCTGCCCTGACTACGGGGTTGGCCCTCCGCTCGCCGCCTGCTGGCCAGGCCGGGGATTGGCACCTCGTCCGAGCGATCTGGGCAAAGGCAGGAGAAAAGCTGTACTGCGGGAACCCCACGAGCGGGGGGCTGCCAGGGTGGGGCCGGCGGGGGCCAGGGGCGTGGCGGCCCTGAGGCCAATCTGGTACCCGCTGTCCTTTCCTTTCAGTTTACCCCCTCTCCCTCCCGCTTCCTTGCCCAGTGCCCGGCTCACCTGGCAGCAGGGCGAGGGGCGCCGCGGGAGGGGCGGCAGGGGTCTCCGGGGCGGCTCTCACGCATGCTCCGGGGCCGGGAGCTGTGCAGCTGCCACGGCCGCAGCTCGCTCTGCTCGGAACCCGCCCCTGCACCAGTCTTTTAAATCTGCTTGGGGGGCGGGCCCAATCTAAAAGAGGCCCCGCCCCTTACAGACTCCACGCCCTCCTGCAGGCACCAACCTTCCGCGCCACTTTCGGTTTCTTTTTCAGCGTTGGAAGCCACGGCAGCTCGCCCTTTTGCATATACTGGAGACCCTCCCCTGGGAGGCCCCCTGCCCTGGCTTAGCCTCGCACCTGTCCTAGGAGCTCTCCATCAAGGTCTCTGGCCCTGCCCCTGAACTCCCTAGCCACTTCTCAGACGCCCCCTTTGGACTTGGTGCCTCTGTTTCTCGTCCCCCCCCCCCCCGCCCCCCCGCCACCCCGCCTTCGGTCACAAATTTCTGCAGCCTAGCCCTTTAGGATACTCTGGACTAGCCCTGACACGCCCCTCTCCCGGCGGCAGATCTCTACCTTCTACTCTGCCCTAGTCAGACTCCTCTACCCTACCTGGGGTCCGGCCTGAAGATCCTAGCCTGTGACTCCTCGGGACTACGGTTGTTGCTCTTCCCCAGTAGTCCATGAGCCTGGGGGGTGGGGTCCCGCCCCCACACTCCTCCTGGCCCCAGCTGTCCCTGATCTTGGCTTGGGCTTCCCAGGAAGTGGTGGCCTGACCACAAGGCTTCGGAGGAACCCTTTGGTAGAGCAGGAGGAGTACCTCGACTGCGAGTCGAGTTCCTCAGAAGCCGGGCGGGGCCCAGCGAAGTCCCTGGAGGGCTTGGCTGGTCCTTCTCTGGCAGGAGAAACTGAGACTTGGGGAGGGGCTCAGATTTGCGGTGACTGGCAGATGGGGATCTCTGGAGGAGGCTTGCTCTCCTCACTTTTCTTTTGGGAAGAGAGCAGCTGGGCACCTTCAAATGCACTTTGGGGCCCAGTGAAAAGATTGTCCATGTGATGACTCAAAACCTACTGTTTTATCCTAGCCTGCCCTCCCCTTCCCCCACTTCTTCCTTTTAGATTCCCCTCCCTCTCTCAGCCAAGCATCTGCCTCCACCTAGCACTCACACCTTGGGCTTGGGATGAAGAGGTGGGGATGGTGGTGTAGGCTATAATTTGTACATTTCTGTGTGATCCAGTGATCCTGTCTGTGGTAGAAAGGCATGGAGTAGGTACCTGACTGGAACATGTATTTTTGAAGGAAAGGAAGAGCAAATAAGGGTTGGCGCTGGTGGGTGGGTAGTCTTAGAGTCTGGAGGGGGTTACCCAGAACACTGGACAGGCTGAGGGCTTGGGGGCTGGCCTCACGCTGGCACACACTGCCCTCTGCAGGCAGCTCTCAGGCAGCCTAGCCAGCTCCCGCCCTTGAAGCCCTGATGCCCGGTTTTCCTGCCTGCCTCCTTGCCTGGAAGAACCCAGGCCCCACTAGTGTGTAGAGGGTGACAGAGAAGATGTAGAGCCATGCATGTGCCGTAGTCCAGGACTGTGGATCCAAACTACCTGGATTCCAATCCTACCTCTTCAACTTTTGGGCGTTGTGCCCTTGAACATGTAATTAACCCCTCTGCCTTGGTTTGTTCTCTTGTGAAACATAACAATAGAACCTCCCTCATAGTGATGGGGATTAAACGAGTGATCATGGGTTGGTCAAGTGCTTAGAATAGTCCCTGGCATATAATAAGTATTCATTAGCTGTTTGCTGTTGCTGTTGTTCACCCAAAGGTGCCTGTGGGTATGGCAGCACATTGGAGCCAGCAGACACATGGCTTCAATCCTTATGACCATCTTAGGAGCCCTAGCGCAAGGAACACAGGTTAGAAGAGGCACAGGCAGAGTAGGAGGAGGGGAGTTTCACTGGGGCAAGCCAGGCTGCTAGATGGTGGCCATGGAGAGGAGTAGCACCTCCTTTCCTTCTTGTTTGAGCTGGGACAGGTAGTCCAGGCCCAGAAAAAGCAGCCAGGCTGGTCTGGCTCCTGCATGACTTGTGTCCCTGCCAACATGTCCACTTGGCAGGCCTCTGGGCAGAGGGAAATCTATAAATAGCTGATGGCCCATGTGCCCTCAACCCCCATGGACAGTCTCCTTGGCTACTTGGGAGACCCACCCCTTTTCCATTGGGACTGGGGCCTCTTGTTCCTCCTATCTTGCTGATCCCTGTGGAGCCCCTTCCTTCATTTCATGTACTGATACCTGTGATGTATTGCCCTAAGCTGACTATGTGATAAATGCCTTATAGTCCTTAGGCCATTGGATTGGTATACAACATTCCAACCTGCCCATTTTACAGATAGAGAAACTGAGGCTGAGGGGAGTCACTTGCCCAGGGATACACAGCTTAGAAGGGGCACAGCTGAGATTCATAGACAGGATATTGGACCCCAGAGCTTTTGTTCTTGCCCACTTTATTGTAAACTCCCACCCCCTGACCTGGTGATCTCAAATCCTGGTCTGTCTGCTGGAAAAATAGTAGATGCCACAGAAATCAGAGATTCATTTGGACCCTGAGCCAGCCTGGGGAAGAGTGGGTGCAGGTCTGCCAGCTTCCCTCTTACTTACAGGCTTGGGGAGCTCCAGTCTTGTCATCCAAGCCTCCATCTCGCCCTTTGTGGCTTTGGGCCCTGTGGAGTCTCAATTTCCCTGCCTGCACAATGGGACTGGCCCCATCCTCTAGCCTGGCCAGATCCTGGTTGTGCAAGTGCGGTGAGTCAGGCTCCAGTTGCTTAACCCATGTGGGTTCTCTTTAGAACCAACATTGACGGTTACTATAGCTTTGTTTTCATTTTCTGAAGTCTTGAGTTCAAAATGAAACCAAATCTAGATGCCAAAAGGGAAAAAGAAATATGCTGATTGCCAGTCTCCTGCCTCCTGGGCTGTTCTCCCTGGAGGATTGGTGCTAGGATCACAGGAAGCTAGGCAGCATGGGAGCCCTGAGGGGCTCAGAGTCTACAGCAAGACTGGGCTGCATTTGGACTCCGGGCCAACTGCTTCCTGGATGTGACCTTGGGCAAGCAGCTGCTCTCTTTGGGCCTTATTTGACCCATCTGCAAAATGGGTTCTGAAAAAAGAAATGGGTTATGGAAGTATTATACCTCATGGAGCAGCAATGTATGCAAAGCCTGAAGCAAAGTGCCAAGCACAGAAAACATGTGACTTCTTGTCACAGGGTCATCCCTGTGTCCACAGCTTGCTGGGCCACAGCCAGACATGTGAGATGGTTCTCCTCCCTTACTTGGCAGGCCCTGGCAAACCAGAAATAAGGGGCCCAGCCCATCCCCCCCTTTTTGGCAAAGTCCTGCTAGGAAAAGTAGCCCCTAGTCAGGATATGTCATCCTGAAACTACTTTCTTACCCAGTTCTCCTCGATACTCCCTTGTTTTCTAACATATGGGGCAGCCAAGGTTCCCATGGGAGCCTGTGCCTCGGGGGAGCTCCAAACCGTGGGGTGTAGAGCATGGATTCTGCTTGCAGCCAGCCTGGGTTTAAATCTGTCAATTAAGCACGTGGCCTGGGGCGAGCTTTACTTTCTCTGTGCCTCAGTTTCCATATCTGCAATATGGGGGTAATAACATACCCATTTCACTACTTCGGTATTTATTCAGTAGGTATTTATTGAGTCCCTACTCTCTGCTAGGCCCTGAGGGCTCAAGGGTCTTCTAGTAGACCTAGGGAGGGGAGACGGACGGTAAGTTCACAGAGTCTTTTTAGATTGTGGTAAGTGCTGTGTGGAAAAAGGGAGAAAGGGAGTCACAAAATTTTTACGGGGTTGGGGGAGGAACGAGATAACTTAGTCAGGGGAGCCCCTTGCAGATGATGACATGGGAGTTGAGGTCTCTAAAAGGAAGGGACAGGGACTCCAGGGAGAAAGAGCCAGTGCCGAGGCCCTGAGGTGGGAGTAAGTGGCACGCTGAAGGATCAGAAAGGGGACATGTAGAGAGCAAGGGGTGAGTTGCAAGGGTGAGGCCTAGGGCTTGGTACGTTGATGGGGCAGGGCCTTGCTGGGAGGGAGGTGGGAGAGGTTTGGGTTTCACTCTGACTGCAGGAAACAAACCTGAAAGCCCAGGAGACAAGGTAGGATTGAGTGTAGAAGGAAAGAGCCCTCTGGCTGCTGACCTTCCAGAAAGTTAGGGCTTTAGCCAAGATGACCTATAGTAGGGACATTGGGACATACCTCACAGCTGTCCCTGAGCCCACTTCCTCCACACAGAGTGTCCCCACACTAGCCCCTGAAATGGGTGTCAAGACTCCTCTAAGGAAGCACTGGGACATTCCGTGCTTTGTAGGAGAGAACACTGTTTTGGGAGGCCTGAGCTCTGGGGTCAGCCGTTACTCCCCTGGAGACCTTGGGAAGGGGATCACCATTTGCTGGTGACAATTTTTTGGTATATTGTCTTATTTTCTCATGGTTCTACAAATTGGGCGTCACCATTTACCAGATGAGAAAGGCACAATTTAGGGAACTGGTGGGCCTTGGTGAAGGTGTTCTGGGGAGCCCTACTTCAGTGTGTGCAGTAGACCCTAGTCCTAGCCCCTCCCAACAGCAGGAAACATTATGTGTTTTAGTTTGGGGGAGGGGGGGTGCTTTGCAGCTAGCTGAGGACAGTTGAGTCCAAGAAGAAGTTTCTCCTTTTGGACAGAGGAGGCCAAAAGGCCAGGGAGTGATGACATGAGCTGGTGGCTGGATTCCAGTGTGATGGCAGGTTATCTCCTCGGCAGCCCTGGGGAGGCGTGATGAGAACCTTCCAGCAGGCCCAGTTATCCCCATGTGACAGGTGAAGAGAGGACAGATTGGTCAGAGATGAGAAGTAGCTGGTACCAACCAGCTTTCGGAAAGTAGCCACTATTAATGTGTTAATAATTCCAAAATAGGAGGGGCTGGAAAGAGGATTTCTGAGAGCACTGGTTATGGAGTCCAGACAAACTTGGTCCCGGTTGCAGGTCCCCACCCCCACCCCTATAAGCACTGTGGCTTCAGGCAAATTGACTTAATCCAGTGGCTCTCAGAACTGTCTCAA